CTTTTAATTTATGTTTTAAAAAAAATTAATTCCAGTATAGTCACCATACAATAGCATATTAGTTTCAGGTGTACAATACAGTGACTCAACAAGTTTACACACTACTCAGTCCTCATCACAGTAAGTGTCCTCTTACCTCTTAATCCCCATTACCTATTTCACCTACCCCCCCCCCCCCACCTCCCCTCTGGTAACCACCAGTTTGTTCTTTGTAGTAAAGAGTCTGTTTCCCGGTTTGTCTCTTTCTCCTTCGTTCCTCTGTTTTGCTTCTTAAATTCCACACAGGAATGAAATCATATGGCATTTGCCTTTCTCTGACTATTTCCCTTAGCATTATACTCTGTAGATCCATCCTTGTTGTTGTAATAGCAAGATTCATGCTTCTTTACAGCCAAGTAATATTCCATTGTATACATACACCAAATATTCTTTATCCATTCACCTACTGATAAACACGTGGGCAGCTTCCATAGTTCAGCTATTGTAAGTCATGCTGCAAAAATCGTAGGGGTGCATATACCTTTCCAAACTAGCATTTTCATATTCTTTGGGGAAATACCCAATAGTAAATTACTGGATCACATGTTAGTTCTATTTTTAACTTTTGAGGACCCTCCATACCGTTTTCCACAGTGGTGTACGAGTTTGGCATTCCCACCAACAGCGCACGAGGGTTCCTTTTATTCCACATCCTTGACAACACTTGTTGTTTGTTGAGTTGATATTAGCTGTTCTGACAGGTGTGAGGTGATATCTCATTAAGGTTTTGATTTGCATTTCCCTGATGATACATGATGTTGAGCATCTTTTCATGAGTCTGTTGCCATCTATCTGTATGTCTTCCTTGGAAAGATGTTTGTTCGTGTCTTCTGCCCACTTTTAATGGGATTACTTAGGGTTTTTTTGGGTTTTTTGTTGTTGTTGTTTTATTTTTTGTTTGTTTGTCTGTTTGTTTGGTGTTGAGTTGTAATAGTTCTTTATATATTTTGGATACTAACCCTTTCTGGGATATGTCATTTGTAAATATCTTCTCCCTTCACTAGGTTGCCTTTTGGCTTTGTTGATTATTTCCTTTGCTGTGCAGAGGCCTTTTATTTTGTTTTTTGGTTTTTTTTTTCCCCCCTTGTCTCCAGAGACATAGCTAGAAAAATATTGCTATGGCCAGACATCTTATTTTTCTAAGCAAAACAGAACCTTCTTAAAAAGCATATTTCAAATCAAATGTATTTATTTCTGCAGTTGCATTACCAATAAAGAAACAAGGAAAAACTTCCCAGTTCTCTATGAAGATATTTTAGCCTTTCAGTTATTCCTAATAATAATCCACGTGTGATGGAAGGAAGAGAAATTTCCCATGAGGCTGTGAAACCCTTTTTTCTGGGACTTATGATTTTTAAAATTACACTACAAAATACAATGCAAGGGGGAATAATGGAAGCTTCCATCAGCTGTGAGAATGTTCCTTTTCCATGTTCTACTATGGTATATTATAAACAGCTAGTGTCAACAAATTGATGCTATTCTCCATTGTTGCCACAATTAGTTGAAAAGCAAAAGACTCAGTCAATTCAACACACAGCAAATACTTACTGGATTCCACTCAAGGGACCTGTGCCTGGCAAAGTGAGAGTACAGACATGCAGAATTAGGAACCCACCAGGTAAGCCGAAGGCCAGTCTGCTGCATAGCACCATTTTTGCCTATGATTTTGTAAAAACCACGATTATTTCCCGTGGAAGGTGGGGACAGTTCCCTAAGGACTTGAACAAATTAACTAGTTGCAAGAATGTGCATATCTTGACTTAGCAAGCCAATTCCTCTAGCCTGCTTCCTCTGCTTCACAGAGAACAGTTCAAATCAAATCAACCTCAAAACCTTGACCTGTGTGTGTTTCTTTTTCATTCTTGGGAAACTATACTCCGTGCAAAGCGCATGATAAAAGTATCTCAAATATGTCCCAACAGAATCTGACCCAACACTCCCTTTGTCCCTGCGTGTGACAGCTAAGGTGACGGTCCTGCCCTCTTATCTCTGCATCTGTTTTAATTCACCGTCAGCTGGAAGGAAGGAAATTAGTACAGAGAGAGAGAACAATGAACACACTGTAATTTTTACAATACAGCAACAGTAATATTGTGACAAACAGTTCAACAGTGTAATTCAGCGCCTCCAAACACTCAAGTATAATACAGAACAAGATCCGTATTTCAAGAGCTAACAAATGAGTTAGGGCATCCGGGCCCTTGAACACCCTAGGTACTCCATAATTATGTGCTGAATGAACAAACAAAAGAATGAATGAATGAATGTGTGAATGAACGAAAGCAGACAGTACTTGAGAAAATCCAGGGGATTTTTTTCTGATATTTTTTTTTCAACAAAGCTCTTTATAATACCTGTTGTGAGATATTTTATATGGTTTTTTTTTTAAATCAAATATCTTTTATTTCAAATCATGAGCCATAAAGAAATCTTAAATGGATCACTGGGAACGAGATAGCAATAGGGTCTTTTACCAGGAGAAATCCTTTAAAAACCAAATTACATTTTCCCAAATGCATTCTATTAAAGAAAATGGAGTAAAGCGTTCATAAGGCTGTTAGAAGATTTCAAATTTCAATGCAAGTAAGTTGCAGGGAAATAGAAGGTTACTGCTAAACCCCCACACCTGTTACATGTGTGATTTTGAGTTCAACACGGCCCAATGAACACAACAGCACTTATAATGGAAGATATAATAGTTCATGAAAAATATAGCATACAAGAGAAATTTGTTGTACTTGAAATGCCTCCTTTTTAAGGTAGGGAAAATTAAATAGCAAAAGCTAAAACAAGCTATGTAGAAGGTAAGCTATGCAGCAGGTGATCTTTAGGCAAACTGAGTACATTTTCAAGTATCATTTAAAGTATTTGAATATTAACTCCTTCTATCCAATTATTTAAAGTTAAGACAAGATAAACTAGCTGCAGCACCAGAATCAAGCAGGAGAACGAAAATAACAAAACTAATGGAAAAGCTCCTTCATGTAGATGGAAAAGTACTTTTTAAATATATTTGAAATTCGGGTGCTTGTTAATTTCATCTCAAACAGGATAAATACCTGAGTGTGCTTCCTTAAAAATCATGCATATTGCAGGGCACCCCAAGTCAGGAAAATACTGGCCTTCTTTAGACAGAAAATGTACTTGAATGCTGAGTCCCGCCCAACCACTGCCCTACTGAAACAGCCTGGCACTCTATCTCATAACACGGTTTTCCGGAAAATGCCTTAAACCACATTAGAACCTGAACTCATAAATCAGAGCAAGAATAACTCCTACAGCAGCACCAGTAACACGTCAAAGATGCCAAATTCCTTACATCATCACAGGCGTGATAAACTCATCTGAGCTAGTAAGGTGTTTACAGATCCCAACTGCATGTGGAATAAATAAGGAGATTGCTCTCTAACCTTAGAGTCATTATACAAAGCTTTCCCTCTTTTTAAAAGTATGTTACAGTCATTATAAAAACCTGTACTCATGTGAAAAATTATTGGAAAATGCAAAAAGAAAAAGAAGAAAAATCACACTTGGTTCTCTGGCCCTCTGCTTTTAAAACCACATCGGGCTCATCCTGCATATAATCTGGGATTTCGTTTTTCTTTCTATTCAACATTATGCCTTTGGAAAGCTGTGTGACATTCAATGTTCTCTGAGGATATAAATGACAATTAGCTGACTATTCCCCTATTCTTGGACACTTAGCACCAATCTTTTGAGAAGAGAAATAACATGAGTAAGTGTAATGGAAATTTTGTTACACTGTTAAATTAAAAGCACAACATACAACTGGACACAATTTAATCTGAACTTTATCCAGTTGATTTTAGGCATTTAGCAAGATAATTATAAATCCTGATGCTATCCATTCTATTTCTTACTATCCAGAATCTTAATGAGCATGGTGCTCAATGCCTTCCTGACGCCCCTGATCAAGTTACTAGAAGCTATGGGGCAAAGAATGGACCCCGTGATATATTTCCCCAGGGGTTTTGCTCAGATGCATTTGAGTCCATTAATCAGTGGGTTTAAAATCCACCTAAGTCTTTTAACACCAAACTCAGACTTTTCCTTCTTATTCATGGGAATTTAATAAACATTTCACCAGGAGTTTACTGAAAGCTAGGTCGTGAACACGGCTACTGGTTTGCTAATCTAATGGCACCATCAAGAAGGACCTTTATTTAGTACACAGAAGAAATGTATAGGAATTCCTAATGATCACTTTTTACTTATACATATTCATGTGTAAACCATTATGATGTCAGTCAAGATAGACTGCTTGATGCTTTGTTTTTTAAAAAAAAAAAAAAAACAAAAAAAAAAAAAAAACAGAAAAGAACCAGACCAAGTGACACTGGCTCAGCAAAGACAAGGATAGCGGAACTCCCTGGGTCATCTCACAATTCCAGAATATTCAGCTCTCATGGCGCTTGCACAGCAACATGCACTTCTGCCCCAAGCAACAGGGAGGGGTGGGCTCCGAGTTGCCCCCGGCAAGTAGGTGCTGAAACCCAGAACAGACATACACCAGTTTACTCTGAACTTTCAGGAGGTGCAGCTCAATCCCCTGCCTAACTGTTGGGAGAACCAGGAATTGGGGAAAACGCTTCACGCCTAGCGCGCAGATCTTCTAGAACCATGTCAAGAAACAACGTCGTCTCCCCCTGTCTATAGATACTGGGATTTCCTTTGCCCCCACAAGAAAGAAGTCAGCTCGTCTGCCCTGGCATGTTCACAGTTACATGGCTGCTCAGATACTCCCAACAATAGTCTAAGCCAGGCTTTATGATATTATATGGACCCTGATTAATAATAAATCAAGTCCTGGAGACAAGGAGCCAGTTAATCAGTTAGGTTTGTTCTTGGTTGCAGAGAATGGATGTCTTAGGAATAGGCATATCATAATGGAATTCAAATCCCAGCTCTACATCACAATGGATGAATCATGTTGGGAAGTGTGCCCTTTCAACAGGTAGAAACAGAATCAAGGCCATCCTACACTATAAAATGAAGATAGTTATTGATTCCCTCCCGAACATCCTTCCCTCCTCTATGATTCACATATACAATATTTGCTCGGGACCACAGAGTTCCTCCAGGAGTGCTAATAACAATATGCCTGACCACAGTAACAAACACTCACGCGGGAATGTTATTAGACCTCGGGCACCGTTCTAAGTATATCTGACTTTCACAGAAGCACCCTGAGGTAAGTTCTACTCTTTGCCCCCTTCCATATGAGGAAACTGAAGCACGAGGAAGCAAAAGAGCCGGCCTCAAAACACACGACAGGTAGGGGGACGAAACCCAGACCACAGCACTTCGGCCCCCGAGGCCTCAGCCTCTTTCACTGCCCACCTGCATCATGCTGTGGTGCTTCAGGTCAATTACTGGTAAGTCTCAAGAAAATTACATCAGGGTCATCGCTGCCATTTACCGGTGCACATCTTGCCCAAGGCCACAAGTTGTGAGTACCAAATGGGGATTTGAACCTGGTATTGGACACAACTCCATAGCCATGGGTGTTTCCAGTATGTCAAGCCGCTGCTTGCTTTACTGTCATAAAACCTACAGACCAAGTGCTTTTTTGCCAGTAGGAACAATTTGTTTCTTCCCACATCGCCCTACTTTCCGTTGCATTTCACTCTCCAGCCTTCTTACAAAGAGCGCGCAAGCCCCAGACAATCGCTTCCTTGGGCCATGCAAATAATGTCTACTGCCTTGACCTTGCTTTGAAGATCTTTGTCTGCCTTGGGTTTTTAACTCTCCTCAGAGAAGTGATTTAATTCAGACCCTCTTTCCTAAAGAAACTTGAATCCCTGAAAACTGACACTCGTATTTCCTGTTATTTACCAGATTCTACGCTCTCTGGGTGCTAATTTGCCCTTGAGATATCCTAGCAGGCTTACGCCAAGCTCAACGGACCGAAGCCTCCCTTGTCCCAAGTTGGACCTACCCGTGGCGACACGTTTTGCTCGAAAGTTGAGGGTAATCACCTGGTTCCTCTTCTCTATGGGCATCTGGATGGTGGGCCTGGACAGAGGGAACAGCACTGGAGACGATCTCCATAGAAGAGAGCATCTCAGGGCAGCCCCACGTCAGTGGCAGGTGACTGCCATGACCAGGCTAATGGAGGACGTGGATGAGCTTCTCATTAACGGGTTGACTTTCAACCCAAGTTTCACCTAATATGTCTTTTTCCTTACAGAAACGTGGAGCTATTGCCATCACTGGCAAATCAGCTTTCGATGAAATATTCAAGACAGCTAGAAGCTAAGCAGGATAACCGAATTCACAACCATTTGCTACAGGACCATAATTTAATGGCAGCATTATAATTTGCTAAATACCATTACCGTGGCACCGGGTCCTATTAATCAAAAACAGGAAAAGCTGTACACAGCAATTTTTCTTTACTATTTGTAGTGGCTTATTACTGGTGCTTACCTCTAGAGTAGATGTTACCTTTTTAGCTTCCATAATCAAATACTCTAAAAATAAGTCAAATTTGATTACTTCCAAATTCTTAAAATCTAGTGCCTGCCTACTGAAGTAGAATTCCTAAATGTCTCCTTTGAAACATTACATTCGCCACATAAAATGGCAGCTCCCAAAAGAGCTACTATTTTTATAAATCAATAAGCAAGAAGAATTATGTACTGACAGGGCTGGAGGGGAAAGTGGGAGTGAGGGGTTCGTGTGTTTGGTCTAAATGGAACAGTGGTCTTGCAACGAAGGTAGCATTATCAGTTTTCAGAGACCAAACAACTGGAGTTGAGAGTGGTCCAAGGTCATCCAGTTAGTTTGGTGGGGAATCCAAGGTAGGAGCCCAGCTCTCTGACACTGGACCTACATGTTCTGTTTTAGTCTGCTCAGGCTATCCTAACAAAATGCCACAGACGGAGAGGCTGGCACAACAGACATTTTTTTCTCTCAGTTCTGGAAGCTGGGAAGTCCAGGATCGAGGTGCTGGCGGATTTGATACTTAGTGAGAGCCCACTTCCTGGCATACAGACGGCAGCCTTCTTGCTATGTCCTCATACAGTAGACAGAGGAGGCTCGGGAGGGGGGGGCCTCTTCTTCTTCCTATAAGGACACTGATCCCATCATGGGTCGTCTACCCTCATGACCTCATCTAAACCTAATTACTTCCCAAACACCCACATTGGGGGTCAGGGTTGCAACATATGAATTGTGGGGGGACATAAACATTCCATCTGTAACAACCTGTTTCTGTGGGGTGTCCCAATCCCAAGGTAGAGAAAACAGCATTTCTCAAGACACTGCATGAACCCACCCTAATGGACGTCTTCCTTCCAACATCGCTGATTAAATGACTGAAATGGGGGAAGTCCACAAACAAAAATGGTAACCTAGCCAAAGGCAGCTGGGCATCTTGTTCCTCTGAATGTCTAGGCAGGTGAATTTCTACGCCTTCCATTCCAAGGGAGGAGTTCTAAGTAACTACTCTTAGCTAATGTCTCTGTCTGTTACATAGTGATCCACTCTTTTGAAACAGAACTACTCAGATTTTGCATTTTAGAATTCATTTCGGAATTGTGAGTGTTCTACATACCTGCTCCTTGTCTGCATTTCCATGCAAATCTGCTTCCGGGAATCTCTTCCCACATTGAGAGGGATGCTCTCCTCTTCCCCACAACTCTCTCCCACACCCTTTCCTGACAGGACTCAGCCTTGAAAAAGTACAGGCCACATGCTTGGGGGCAAGGGTAGCACATTCTGAGTGGTGCCAGTCTCAACAATCTTGAGCAACACACACTATGTGTCCAAGGCACCATGGGCACAAACGTGTAACCTCTGGATTCCCAGGCCACCTCAACTTGTTATTAAAAAAGAAGAAAGATGGGGTGACATTATCAGTAAAATGTATACTTTGTGGGCCATTGCCCCTACTCCACAGTGCCGGAATCATCTCTCCCTGAATAGTCCTGTCATTTCTGGAAGACCACCGGGGGCCTCTACGAGCCTTTAGACAAGTTCTGTTGCCATCTGTATTAGCCACCACCCTCCTCCTGTCCAGCACCAAGAAGCCTTCATGAAAAAGCCAGTGCAGTCCGCCTAGAAAACATGGTAAGCAGCCCTTCACAGCCTCCAGGGCCACCTAGTTCCAAAATCTATCACAACCAAGGCCCGGGCGTCAGGTACCACAGGAAATGAACAGGGCACAGTTCCAGAAATGCCCCACACATAGCGTCAGGACCCGCATTTCCCCAAGTGAAAAACCAGGCATCATCTTCTCATCAGCCAAGAAAGGACCCACATCTCCCTTCCAGTATTTTCTACCCCACAGGCCATTCTCCCAGCTCCCCCTCCAGCATTCAGAGATATCCCCTTCTTGCCACACTGCCCACATCTCTTATCTCTGAAGCACAGCACACAATGTACATGCACCATTACTCACCCACCCTTGTCCCTGGGCCTTCTTGCCTCATGACTCACAGAGCAGCCAGTGTGCCTTGTCTTCCGGGAACCACCCCTGCTGGTCTGTCGTCTCTGCTCCCCCTGTCTACCACCCTCAGCACTGAGCAATGTCTCCTGGGTCTGGGTCATGCCCTTCTGACTGTGCAAGAGGTTCGGAGCCAGCTGGCATCCCAGGGTCCCACACCAGGAATGGGAGAAGGTCTCTCCCCACCCAAGTCACACTCTGTCAGCGAGCCTCCAGAGCAGGGCGGCCTGGACCCCACGGTGGCCCCGACCACACCGTCTTCTTCCTCACTACGTAGGGAAGGCCATCAGGCCGTGATACCACCTGGCTTTTCACACAGGCGACATGCTGTCCTCTCTTCTCTCTTGCACAGTTTCTGCTCTACCAAGATCATTCTAGAAGCATGAACGTAGCATGGACGTAGCATGAACTGGCATAGGGAAAAGCGGACCAAGACAGCTAGGGAAGGGAAATCACAAAGATACAGGTACGGATGCTATAGAGAGGCAGACTGAGAGAGCAAATGCAGGTTAAGGAAGCACAAACTAGACTTAAATTTAAATCTTGGTCCTGCTCCTGATTCTCTGTATGCCAACAGCCAAGTTGCTTAACTTTATGTCCTTAGTTTCCTCGTCTGTGGCGTGACAGGGCAGGACCCAGATGACTCTCAGAGCCCATATGACTCTGGAAGTCTAGGATCCTGAACCCCAAGATAATGCATTTAGAATAAAAGAGATAAAGTGAAGTCATGATGGTGGGGGAGGGGGTGAAGATAATCTCATTTATCAACAATTAGATGTTAGGAAGAATGCTGATACTGTTAATGAAGGATGTAACTGGCCACATATAAATGCACAAAACTAGGGGGGATTGTGTTCAGATAAGAATTTAATTATTAACCTTGAATCAAGATAAAAACCCAAGTATAAATCAGAATTTAGTAGGTGAAAAAAGCAACATTTCAAATCAAGAGAAGAATTCTTCAACCAGTAAGTGACATCAGAACAGTTACTTGGAAAGTGAGAGGGAAAAGCAGTCTTCAGCTCTTCTCTTACTCCAAAATGTTTGCAACAGGCTCACAGATCTAAACACATAAAAATAAGACAACAAAAGAAACGCAGGAGAAGAAACTGTGGTATTTTATAACCTTTAGGTGGAGCACGATTTTATAAATAAGTCTGAATAATAAATACACATAAAGGAAACATTACATATTCAACTTCAAATGCAGGTTTTATGTACATAAATATTTTGGTACAGCAGGAAAAAACAACAAACATTTTAAGACGAATGGCAAACTAGAAAAACTGTTTTCAAGGCATATGTTAACGATCGAAGAGACACCATCTGCACAGCACAGACCTAGGCTTCCAAGTCAGACAACCCCAGGACCCACTCGTAGTGTATCTTCTGTGGAGGCGGGAAAGAGGTCCCCTGGAGTTTTGCAATATCTAAGCCTAAACAATTGAAAAATAATCTCTCTGCAGGAAACGATGTCTTTGGAGCATGTTTGGCGAGAAAGGTGAGGCTGCTCTCTGGACAAGGTCTACATGGGCTGCAGTGCAGCGATGGAACCAATCAGCTGTACATGAGAAACGTACTTGAATTTGGGGGAGGGGGTTGCAGGTAAGAGGGACGAACGAACAGCTTAAGGAAAGAGGGCTGAGCAACATGGCAGAATGCTTGAACCCAAACAGAAGCATCAACCAGGGAAAATCTCCCGATGTTGAGACTAATCAGGAGGCTGTTAAGAAAAGGGAAATCTAAGGCATGATTTTATTTTATATGTTTTTTTAAATTTTTTTAATGTTTACTTATTTTTGAGAGAGAGAGAGAGAGAGAATGTGAGTGGAGGAGGCAGAAAGAGGGGGTGACACAGAATCCGAAGCAGGCTCCAGGCTCTGAGCTGTCAGCACAGAGCCTGACTAGGGGGCTTGAACTCACAGACTGGGAGATCATGACCTGAGTTAAAGTTGGAACCGACTGAGCCATCCAGGTGCCCCATAAGTCATGATTTTAAACTGCCTGCCAGGCTCTAGTGTGCGTGGCTATTGTTCTGGTAGAATGCCCCACCTTATTCTTCCCGAGTTGGGTGCAGTTGGCCACAGCCTGTCACTGTGCCAGTGGTACCCCCAGAGCCCAAATGTTGAGAGCGTCCTCCACCTACATGGGAGGTGCAGAAAAAGGCCAATGCACACACAGAAGGTGAAGAAAACGTAGGCAGTGAGAACCAAGGGGAAGCAGGAGCGCAGAGCAAGAAGTGACCAGGGCAAACGTAAACCTTCCAGCCTCGAGATTCCCATAGACACTGTGACGAATCAGCAAAAGGGATGGAAAGACCAAACCTACAGAATTCTTAAAGGACAAGATGACTCTTAGCAAACAGACATTGAAAGGCGGGTACCTAGTTTTTATACGAACCACACCGATAACAACAAAAAAATCAAATTAAAGCAAAGATCTTCTTAGCTACTATTATTGTCAAAATCCAGGTGTGTCTTGGGAAGAGTTTATCTCCCCACCAGCCACGGTGGACTTTTTCATACATGGGGCATTCACTAGGAACTTTAGGAAGAAAGACCTTAGTGGTGGGACCAAACTAACCCCAGACTAAAATCTGCTGTGTTCACCTTTTAAAAGCTTAAAAACAAGCCTCAAATACTTTTGCTTTCAGGAAGATTGAGGAGACATACTTTTCCCTATTTCTCCCACTAAGCACCACTGAGACCCTGAATATTATACATAAACAAACAAACCAGGACCCTGATGGGTAGAGAGAAGAATGCAGACCAGCTAGGGACCTTGGGACCCAATGACCAACATAAAGGGGGCCCCCGAGGTTTTCATGTTGCCTCGTATATCCCCGACCCAGAGCTGAAGAAGTCAGCAATACAGAAATGCCAATAGATGCCGACTCAGAGGGGTCTCGAAACAATCTGCTGTCTCTAGTCAGAGGTCCAGGAAAGAGGCAACCTAGAAAGACAGAAAACTTTGAGACACGAGGTGCTGTATTCTAGCCAAAGACCACAGAAAAAATTGTTGTCCCACCCCTACCCATGCCAACAAAGGC